ATACGAAGGTTTAAATGATTTGAATTGAATTCAATTTTAAAACAGGTGGTCTCCCTTTTCATAAAACAAAAACTATTTTGCACATATACAGATCCGATTTGCTGACGTGGTTTTAAATATTTAACGCAAGTATATGCGGGCTCGATTACTTTAATTTAATTTTCTAACATATGGCAACCCTTTTCAAAAAAACTAAAGCCATATTGCAAATCCGTAGGCCAAGTATTTTAATGTGACGCCTTTTGGAAAATCGAACGAACTATATAGATCTGGTAACGTGGTGTTAAATATTTACTGCAAATTATCTAAATAATTGTTACGGGAAATATTACGCTACGACTAATCACTTTTTGCCTAATAACTTTTTATTGTTTCCCTATTCAGTTTGGTAAAACACGCGGACATGGCGTATGAGCAACATTTTTTCCTGCTTCTTTTTCACACAAAAAACATCACTGAATTCATCAAACGACTACACGCAAGTGGTACTTCCCACTCTTATTATGTCGAGTTGGACAACATTTGTAAGTCTTTTATTAATTTAAATAATACCCCGGTAACGCTCGATTGAACATTTCGGGTATTTTATTTTGGACGTAGTATTTCTGAACCGATTAGCTCATTTTGTTCAGATTGTTTTTGAACTTGGCTTGCTTTTTACTTTAAAAAAGTGTCTGTTAAGTGTATAACGAAGTGTATCCTAGCATGAAAATCTTAAGCAAAAATACATATGTTAAGAAAAAGAAGTATTAATGCTTGGCGCAAAATTATACAGTTTAAATACAAGTACATATTTTTCTCAGTGTTAGAACTTAGTTTCGACTTAATATATTCTTGTTTTCTTCGGCTTAGACTCAAAATACACACTGTACGCCCGATATTAAGTTTTAACCAACGTCGTTAGTAAACGTAGACCCGAATTTTTAAAGCAAAAACTTAGGATTTATTTTACACTCAAGATAATACAAATCAAGCGAATTCTGACGTCTTTCTTAAGCCTGTATGAATTTATGCTGCACATAGGAGGTGGGAAAACCGATTGTCAACTACAAATCAAGGTTAATCAAAGGAAACTTAATACTTTCAACGAAATACTTGGGACAACGAGACACAAGCTGGGGTATTTCTTAAGTGTTGTGTAATCAATGAAAATTGATGCGAAAATGTTCAATTAGCATTAAGTAAAGTCCCCTTGGGGGTTTACTTCGGTAAAGAATTTTTAAAGAAGATTTGTTGATTTGCCCAAAACATTTTTTTCAATATATGTAAGTATCTCAATGTATCTCCTTATACTACATATGTGTAGCTACATATGTTTGCGATGAGTATATTTTTATATGATAATGGCCATGTGAACTACGCCAACAATACAACCACTTAACATTGTTTCGTTTCAACATTATACATACAACAACAACCTAAAGTAAGAAAAATGGGCTGAGTTCAAGAGCAAGCCAACCACAAAGATATTGCAAAATAAATCAAAATGCCTGCAAATTCAATCATATTTTTACATAATATTGTACTCATATGTATGTAAGTGTATATTGTATAGCGTGCATATACCTATATACATATGTATGTACATATGCTGTGC